AACTGAAGCCAATTTTCTCTAATTTTATTCACAAAGTATGTTGTTGTTCTGTGCCGTCGAGTCGGACACGACTCATACCGACCCCTCCTTGGGTTGCCAAGGCAGTATCACTACGGAAGTAGATTTGACCCATCTTCCTTCCGAGGAGTTGGTGGATTTGAACCACCAGCCTTCTGGTTAGCAGTCAGTGCCTTAGGCACTAAGTTACCAGAGCTCCCTCACAAAGTATACCAGAAAAAAAAAAAGGAAGGTATCACTATCCTCAGTTTCACATATTTAAAACCAAAAATAAATAAGCAAATAAAACGAAACTCATTGCCGAGCTGATGTCAACTCATGGTGACCACATGTGTGTCAGAATAGAACTGTATGCCATAGACTTTTCAACGGCTGTGACTTTTCAGAAGTAGATGACGAAGCCTTCTCTGAGAGGTGCCTCTGGGTGGACTCAAAGCACCAACTTTTCACTTCGTAGCCAAGCACTTAGCCACCTGTGCCACTAGGAGGCCACATATTCAAAAACAGCCTTTGAGTGCACTCTTAGGCTTTTCCTTCCAAAAGAAATAACCCTGGTTTTATGTCCTCTTCCTGTGGGTTCTATTTTGTGGCCTAATAATCATCATTGTTGAGAGTACACTGGGATTTCTCCATAGCCTAAACATTACTTTCCAATTGTTACATCCACATCAATTCCCAAAGTTCCAATGAAAGGCTGGAACTATAACTGAGTTTAATGGTGGATTACTTTCTAGCTCTTCTATGTTGCAATCTTACTTCAGAATCAGATGCCTGCCTTCTTAGCATGGATCAGCAATGCAGAATGAACAAAAAACTTTTTTTTTTTTCATTCTAATAATGAATTGGGAGCTCTGGTAGCATAGTAGCTAAGGCACTTGACTGCTAACCAGAAGGCTGGCGGTTCAAACCCACCAGCCACTCCTCGGAAGGAAGATGGGGCAATCTACTTCCGTAGTGATACTGCCTCGGAAACCCAAGGAGGGGTCGCTATGGGTCGGGTTTGACTCGATGGCACATAACAACAACAACAACAGCAATAATGAATTAGAGAAAGTATGATCAGGAACATGATACACACATCCATAAAGCCAATAAAAAATATCAAAGTGTGTCTAAATTCAGAAGAAGCAACAAATGGATTCAAGTTTACCCAGGAATTCCATTGCACATGGTAGTGTTGGAAGATTGGTCCTCTCGAGTTCTGGGGACTGCTATGGTAATAGTGAAGCTTGCTTGAGATGTCTATTATCTCTCTAGATTTAATGATGTCATTTGAGAGAACTGGCAGAATGAACTACAGTGATTCACAAGAGTTCATCACCTCAGCAATTAATTTATCCAATTTATCAATTTAGTCATTAAAGCACATTTGAATAACATATTTCAAAAGGTTAGTCAAATACCATTTTTGATTAGCATTAGCTTGAGAGAAGAGGGAAAAAAAGACAATCAGAAGGCTTTCTTATTATTTACTGAGAGCCAATTTAAATTCAAGTTGATATCATAAACAAACTTCATCTGATTTTAGAACAACATCTGGACATTCAATACTGTTACTGAGAAGAAAAGAACAATGGTGAGATTAGGAATACTCAGCCAGGGAAGTGGCTATCACCACTCTGAAAAGGATCACTGGAGATCCTGGATAGAGTGAAAGAGAAATGTGGAACACAACTCAAAATCATAAAACACACCAGAATTACTGGGTTGACACAGACTTGGTGAAACCCAAGAGACTATGGCCCTTAGTCACCCTTCCAGCCTGGAATTGAACTCACTCAAGTCTGGCTCAACTTTTAGCCAAACAACAAACAGAGCTATGAAGTGAACAATTGCATCATGGAGGTGTACTCCTTAGAACAATCAACCATAAGAGATCAAGAGGGCAGCATTTGCTTAGGGACAAGGCTCAGAACGCAGGAATGCATGGGAAAGGAGGACACAGGGAGAAGGTAACCACAGGGAGGAAGTGGGAAGAGAGAGGTTTTACAAGGGGATTGCAATCAACGTCATGAAACAAAACATGTATCAACAGTTGAATGAAAAACAAGTTTGCTCTGTCAAGTTTGCTCTGTAAACTTATCCAAATCACAATAACAAATTTTTTTTTTTTTTTTTTTTAAAAGGAGATAAGGACCTTCCTCCTGAGCTAAAAGAAAGAGAAACCCTTCGTCTAGAGCTAGCATCCTGAATTTGGACTTCTAGCCTCCAGAACTGTGAGAGAAGAAATGTGTTTGGAGAAAAAGCAAAGCCATTCTGCAGGCTCCTCCCACAGCTGCACACCCACGTTCACACTTGGTCACCCCCATCCCCAGCCCAACTTATTTTCTTCCTCTATCAGGGAACACGGTGTCTTGTACACTGACATCTCCTCTCACTTACCTTTTCATCAGCCCAACACTGTCCATCCAGGCCCATCTCTTCTGAGGCTACTTATATGCAGATGCTGAACAAACATGTCTCTCTCAGATTTTAAAAAAAATCAATAACCTGCTCTAGAATTCAATTCCTGCTGAAAAATGACTCAGCAGTAAGTGCCAAGAGTCCCAACAGGTCCATGTCCTTTGACCTAGCAAGTTTATTTGTAAATCTATCTTAAGGATGTGCCTTATGATGCAGACAGATCTTAAAACATCAGATACCTGCTATGCTTCTTTATAGTAGCACCCAACAAATGAACAAAACTGGAAAATACCTAAATATTCAATTACAGAGAAATTTTAATGATGTTTGTTCAATCATTTTATTAGAGTAAGAAGCCTGTACATTAAATAATAACTTAAAAATATAAAATTGTAACTGTAGTATTATATCAACAATGTAAAAGTTCACTTACATAAAAATTGCATGAAGAAAATACACTAAGTTGTTAATGGTGATTTTTTTGGACAATAGAATTATAATGTTCTTTTCTTCTTTGTGTGCAATTGCCTGAATTTTCCAAAATTCATATTATGATTTTATATGTATGTACATATATGCATTCATGTGTGTGTATATATATATATATATATATATATATATATATATATATAATGAGAATAACAAAATAAAAAGAATATTAGCGAGCTTAATAAAAATCAGTCAGCATTCTATCTGAAGGCCTAATATTAAGTAAATGTCAAGGTTCTTTCAACAAATAAAACTATACCTCAAGAAAATTGCATGCTACCTGGAAGACTCCATAGTATAGCAAAAGGAGTATGGACTTTGTAAATAGGACAAAAATGGGCTCCCGGCCGATGATATGAACCACTCCTAAAATGCCTACTACATGTGCATCAAGACAAGGCAGCAGGTAAGGAATGCACAAAACTGCTCTCGTTGTCATATTAAGATGGCAAAGTCCTAGTAATATTGTTCTGATTCCAAACCAATGCTGTTTAATTCCAGCATTGGAATAAAGAAAGAAAGAGGGCGTAGAGAAGTGTGAATCTATTTTTAGGCTTTATCTACACTAATTACAGTACTGTTTTTGCAACAGCAGACTGTTATCCAGTGGGTTATGAAACCAATTTAGTAGATCACAACCATCATATTTTTAATGAAACAGAGCAGAGCAGGTCAAAACATATCAGAACAATTGCGGTATTGTTTCAAGAAATGTTTGTTCCAACTGCATACATTTAGACTAAGTAGTGTTGTTCTTAGATGCCACCGAGTCAATTCTGACTCAGAGACCCTATGTACAAAAGGACGAAACGCTGCCCAGTCCCGTGCCATCCTCACGATCCGCGCTGTTTGAGCCCACACCTGCAGCCACCGTGTCAATCCATCTCGTGGAGAGTCTTCTCCTTTCTCTCTGACCCTCCACTTTACAAGCATGATATCTTTTTCCAAGGACTGACCATATGACCAAAGTAGATGAGACAAATTCTGGCCATTCCAGCTTCTAAGAAGCCTTCTGGCTGCACTACTTCCACGATAGATTTAGACTAGGTGGTGGTGTAGAAAGAGCCCTGGCAGCATAATGGTTAAGTGCTCGGCTGCCAACAAAAAAACTGGCTGTTCAAATCCACCAGCTGCTTGCTCTTGTAAGAGGTTACAGCTTGGAGACCCTATGAGGCGTTGTATTCTGAAATACAGGGTCACTATGAGTCTGCACGGATTCCAGGGCACACAGTAACGACTGTAGTGCACACTGCATTTCTTACTATTGGTTGTGGCTTTAAGAAAAGACAGACCAAAATGAAGACCTTGACACTGAGCTAGAAGAGTTTATTATTTTTTTAAAAAACCAAAATGAGGTTTTTTAAAAAAATAATAAACAAATATAAAACCAGGGGAAAAAAAAAAAAAGTTTAAACACAAGTCTTGTCAGTAAGGAAATGTTAACAATGGTTCCAGGACCAGAAAAATAGCTATTTATTTTACAGTGTTAATATTTAAACTCTTAGAGAATGCTGGGTATCAGGAAGAAAACTCATACATTTTTTCAACTATGAGAAGCAACTTTTTGGAATGGACCCTGGGTGTGTCAAACCACTATATTTCAATAGTCAGAAAGCCAACGTTCCAAAAGGGCAGTATAAGACTAAATCTTATACTAAAATCTAAATCTGAAACAGAAATATAACCCTCTGAGGCAAGAATTAACTCAAATTTTTTTTTCTTTCTTTTTAATGCTGACAAACTAAATAGACAAGTAAAATGGTGAAGATACCTCATTCAGCTACAAGTGTCAAAACTGACATTCAAACCCATTCCTCCTCCTTTCAAGATTAACCTAAGGTGATCTCAGGGTGAACAATTACATCAACAGTCAAAACAACTGTATTTCTGAGAGACCTTAAGACATAAATCATTTATTCATTCAATCAGTATTTACTGAGTCCTTTTATATGCAAGGCACTGTACTGTTCACTATAAATAATAGAAAAATATGACAGCCCTTTACCTTGAGAAGTTTACAGTTGTGATAAGGCATCGAAAGAAATTTCAAGGTTGAAACTGAATTGACCACAAGCCTTTACCTCCCCTCCCTCCAAAATACCACTAAAATGATAGCAGAAGAATTTTCCAAAGGTTAATACAAAGACAAAGAAAATGGGAGAGGAGACAGCAGCAGGCAAGAGATTTCAATAATTTTTGGAAGACAGGAAGGAGACAGAAGAGTGATAACCACCTTAGCAAAATATTGAAAGCTGGCACTTGAAAGACAGATCCCAGAGAGAACCCAGCCACTTCTCCCCAGAGAAAGCCTGACAGCAGTAGTGGGGCTATCATGTCCCTAGAAGACAAGGGATAAGACAAAGTTCTAAAAATAGCAAGACTGGCTCAAAGCCTGCCAACAGAGGAGTTGGCATTTACCACCTACAGCGTTTCCAGAGATGTACTTGCACACGGAACACACAGTAAGTTCGTAATTGCTTTACCAAGGATGCAGACACCTAGTGGAGGCAAGGTGGCCACTGAGAGCAAGCCACATGGTAGAAGTACCTCTTAGCACAACTTCCTTTGGTCATCAGTCACTTAAAGGAAAACAAGCAGCTACTTGTGATGCTTCCAGACAAGGCAAGGCCTTATCAAACCTGAGCAGCTCTTGATTTTGTCAGGCCAAAGTTCTCATATATTAAGACTTACATTACCATTTACAGAACTTCCACAAGCAATCTATCCCCTTAAGAAATAGTATTTATAGGGATTTAAACTAGGTAGCATAGTGCCTAAGGCATCTGACTGCTAACCAGAAGTTTGGTTTGAACCACCAGCCACTCCTTGGAAGGAAGGTTGGGCAATCTACTTCCATAGTGATACTGCCTCAGAAACCCAAGGAGGGGTCACTGTGAGTCAGGTTTGACTCAACCGCAGTGATTTTTTTTTTCTTTTTTTTTTGGAAACTAGGATCTTAGACTTAATTCAGAGCCTACAAAGCCATAAATCCCCATCTAAGAGAAAAAAGGAGCTCTGGTGGCACAGTACCTAAGGCATCTGACTGCAAACCAGAAAGCTGGGGGTTCAAATCCACCAGCCACTCTGTGAAAGGAAGACTGGACAACATACTTCCATAAACTGACTATGAGTCGGAATCTACTTGATGGCAGTGGTTTTTTTTTTTTTTTTTTTTGAAGAGAAGAAAGTGTTCCTAAGCCTCTGCTTCTGGCTTTATTGGAGGAAAAGACCCATCTCTTCATACTTCCTGATGCAGGAGAATGAATGACTCTTTGCTGGAGGCACTAAATGCCAAAGAGACCTTGAGGTGCTAACACCGAAGCCCATCAGGCAAACTGACTGTGCCCACACAGCTTCCTATCAGCCCTTTAGCATCCCATTTCTAAATGCGAGTGGAGGCCAAGGTGCATCAGACATTTGAAAGAGGTATCTAACATGAAAGAGATTGAGAAGAACACATTTTTTAAAAAGTAAACCACTAGAAAGAATGAAAGGCATGAAGTAAAACAAAATGTTATACACACACACTCACCACACACAGACCAAAGGCACCACAAACACATACTGAGACTTAAATGATGGTACCCCTACCAAAAAAGAAAAAACGGGTTTTATGTAAAAGGGAAGGGATTGGGGAGGAAGCTCTTGAAAATTACAAAGCATGCTAACAAAGTGAAAGAAATCTCCCAGAAAGTAGAACCACCATAAAAAGAGACAGAAAATCGGAGGGAAAGATAAAACTATTAGGGAATCAATACAGAAGGTGTGATGTCCAGAAAGAACAGGAATTATTTTGTGAAACAACAGAGATTATTCTATTAAAGAAACAACTCAAAAATTTCCTAGACCCTAAGGAGATGAGGTAGCATAGTGGCTAAGTCACTTGCCTGCTAACCAGACGGCTGGCGGTTCAAACCCACCAGCCACTCCTCGGAAGGAAGGTTGGGCAATCCTACTTCCGTAGTGATACTGCCTCGAAAACCCAAGGAGGGGTCACTATGAGTCGGGGCCGACTCGACGGCACATAACAACAACAAAGGAGATGAAATTTCAGATTGGAAGGGCTGGCAAGCACCTACCTAGCACATGAATTTTAGAAGTGCATCAGCATGAAATATCAGAGTACCCAAGATAAAGAGAGCAGCCTAACAGCTTCCAGGAGGACAAAAAGTTACATTCAATGGTTCCAAAGTAAGAATAGCCTCAGAATTCTCACTTAGGATATTAGATGCTGGAAGACTAGAAGTCTACACCGAGTCAAATTACCAACCAAGTGAGAAAGCTGAAGAGGCATCTTCATAAAGACTAAAAATACAAAGGAAAGTAAAAAAGAAAATTACCTCCAGTAGGTCATTTTAGAAAGACGCTGGAGGATGTGCCTCAGCAAAACGAGGGAGTAATGCAAGGAAGAATTAGACCTGTTCTACAGGGAACAGGGAATGGATAGCAGTGGGGAGAAGAGTGGCCCAGGTGACAGAACCAGACACCAGGCTGGACCGGGGGGTGGGGGGTGGGGTGGGCAGGCA